GTAATAGGTCTGAGGATGTAGGCGCCAAGAATAAGCATATTCCAGAACTGATACTTGTCACCACGGAGCCAGGGGCAAACAGAGGCTCTCGAGTAAACACTCTGCGCGACACATGGGATAAGATAACAAAAGAGCTGGAGCTCTGGCAGAAAGACCAGAAGAAGGATGAAGACATTGAGAAGGACCATGCTGCTGACTACAACTTTGAGGAGATCGAAGCGGACTATACAGCGAAGAATCAAGCTTATCGAGATGAGCTCGAAAATAATGGGCGGAGTGGAAGGGATCCGGATACGAAAGCAGCGAAGAAAGAGATGCTAATAGCAAGGGATAACCACAGGCAGGCTAAAAAATACAGAGATGACAAGAGGTTTGACAAAGCAAAACGTCAGAGAGACCATGAAGGGATGACGCGCGCTCAACAGATGGTCGAAGACTGGCTCTTCTACCAGGATGCCTCCAGGCGGCGAAGAAGACTGATATACTTGGACCCTGATAAGAGGAAAGAAGCTGAAGCAAAACGGTTGCGTCGTAGGCTTCAATATAAGCTCGAGACCTCAGGCACCGATAATGGCCATTATGACTGGCTGCATTCGTTGATGGAACTATATGACTCAAGAGACATTGGTGGCCGAAATTACAAACAAGGCTTGGAAAATCATCTGGGGAATCAAATCCCGAAAAAGACGAGGCAAAAGGTCACTCTGCCTCTTGTAGGGCCGGGCGAGCTTCACCTGTGGACACCAAGATACAGGCGTCGACTTGTTGGCTTGCGTCGCCCAGAGGAAGACGACACTGACAGTGATGATTCGGACGAGATCGAGCCGCATCGCTTTGAGCTGGATGAGGCGGCGGTCGAGGCCGAGCGGATGAAAACGGAGAAGAAGATCGATCGCGAGACGAAGAATCTCGTGTACAGTTCCCATGATGCAAGACGCCGAGACGAGATCGAAACCTACAAGAACAGCAGACCTAATACTTCGAATGTCCGAGAAGCAACGGTTTCCGGTAGGAGTATCGTCCAAGACAGGTGGGGTCAAATTCGGACGAAACAGGGCCTGTTCATCTCTGCACGTGAGAGCTCTTGGGATTGGCTGACCTCGTATGATTGCCTCGGGCCGGTGAAAACTGGTTGGCATCCTGAGACCAGCGCCGTCAGGGACGATCCAGAAGTCTGGATAGAACCAGATGATCTTGACAGCGGAAGTGATCGTGACAGCCAAGTTGACGCACCACGGGCTTCCGGGGATCAGCCTACGAAAAATGACGAGAACGCACTCGAAGAGCCAGTAGGCGAAAGCCGAAAAGCTGGCAAAGCGACCATCAATTACCCATACCCCGCCAGAGAGTTCTGGAGAGATTCGAAACCATTCCAATTGGGCGAACGCAAGTTCGTCACCACCGAGTGGGCGGAGGAAACGACCGGTCGCCGCGAACGACACACATACCGAAAAGAAGAGCATGCCTCGCCTGTCAACTCGCCCCCACGATCTCCAGTGTTAGAGGAGATTTCAGATGCGACCATACCCATGGGCTTCCCCGAGACGGATGCGCGAGCTGTCGCTCTAGAGCCAAGATCTCGCAGGAAAATATGTCTTCTAAATCCCAATAGATGCCGAGCATTCTGGGCCCACTCTTTGAACGAGTGTTGGATACCATACTCAGAGCAACCGACGCGACCTGAAGAACCAGTCAAGTGGCCGATCCAGGCGACAGACGCACCCAAAGATGTTACTGAAAGCGGTACGGATGGATACGTGCCGACACTAGGTATACCTGTATACCGCTCTAGGCTATACGACCACTACGGACTGATGTTCCAGAGCACACCCAAGGACGAAGTCCCAGCGCGGCCCATATGGCCTAGGATTGGAATACGAGTGCCATATGAGCCAATGACGTTTGAAGACCTTCGTATATGCAGAGTTGATGAGGGTGAGGGTGAGATAGAGCCGGAGGCATCGAAATCTGCAGAGCCCGTGGATGTTCCGGAAATATCCAACCAAGGAAAGATAGGCAAGATCCTGGCTCCAGATGCGCATCTAAGAGGTGTCCATGAAGTCCGATCGATGGCGGTGCCAATTATCGAGGAACCGCAACGGCCGTGGGCAGATCCTGAAGAGGAGCCTGATGAAAATGACTCGGGCTCGGGCTCGGACGCGGACGCGGAATCGGACGATGAAGGTGATCTTTTCCATGAATCCTACGTGACAGGCTCCTTTCCAGGTGGCCTACCCGCACCCGTATTACCGCCAACGGAAGCCTCGGAGACTGCCGCCCCGGACAAAACAGCTTCAACAAGTGTTGCCCCAGAAGCTGCTGTGGCTACAGAGGACAACCAAATGGATAATGGTGCCGAAGATCTGTAGACACAACACCACCGTATACCGGTTCAACTATGTACGTAGATGTCGGTCTTTATCCATGATTATTCGTTGACTGTAGCAGGTATCGGGTGAAGCGTCATGAAGTTTGATCGGGTGAGGGAGCTTTGCTGGATTTCGTTCGTCGGTGCGCGGAAGGACGCGTCGTCTTCGCGTTATCTAGGTGGCGTGGTCTCGCTACCATGGAAGGAGAGGACTGGGAAAAATGTATCCATATCGCGAGGTATTCGGTAAGACATCGAGCTCGTAGGATTGTGGCATCGGGCAATCGTTGATGTTTGTTGGCCGACGTGGAGTACTGAAGTTTGCAGTCGCGGTTTGAGGCCGGATTTGTGCTTAGTAATCAATGTGCGTCATAGCTCAAGCTTCCCAGCTGAACCCCACCCATCCCTGACGCGGCCTCCCAGCATCAAGGACATCGATAGTGTGTCCGGAGAACCAATTGATATTCGAACAATTTAGCTGAATTATACGGCAATATAGTGTGAGTTAGGGTTTGATGCACCCATTAATGCCCCGTGGCAGAGTGAGTTGCACCTATTTTTTATGGACCTTAACACCAGGAACCGGAATTGTTACTGTACACTCGTGGATTCATTAATTCTCGAAATGTTCGAAAGATTTATCACTACATGATAGTGATGTCGATATGCGCATACACTACGCACGCGACAGACAGTCGGCCATCACGCTCAATGTAATGAGGTGGCCGTAGCGACTACGCATAACTCACGACATGCCTGGAGTGTCAAACAGTTGCAGTATTCCCGAAACTTCCATCGCAGTCCGGCTATATCAAAGATACAACCACATGTGCTGCCCCTACACCCACATACTCCTCGAAGATCTCCTCTCCTCTCCTTCAGGGTATTTTGGATCCTCTCCAAGATACTCCATCCTGTTCTCCCGGTAACGCTTTCCACTACTACCCTGTTCGAGATTCCAACATCTCTCAATCTCTTCCCACACATCCTTAGCTCGGCGACCTATCTTAGGCGCCAGGATCTTGGCCTCCGCTACCGTAGGCGGAGCTTTCGGATCCGCGGTCTGTCTGGTATCTAGCCAGTATAGATACGCATGGCGCGCCGATACCAACTCGCCAACTCGCCAAACCTTCGGATCCCGCGATGCTAGACCGGGGTACATAAAGATCTGATATGTCTCATCTAGGCGAGGATTGGGTTGGAGGTCGATGCGATCGTATGGTGGCTGGCGGAAACCTAGGAACGCAATGATGCGCGGGTCGTTGATGAGGAGGAAGTCGACAGGCCCGTTATCCATACTTGCTGCTACTTGGGTGACCTCGTCGTTTTTGTTGTCGCGGTGTACGCACATAGCAATGATGATAGCGCTTCGATAATAGTCGGCTTGGACTTCTTGGATCTTTTTTACCGGAAAAGCGTTGAAATCATGGATTCGTACAACCGTGCAGGTACCGGGAGGGTGCCTTTCGCATGCGACACCTGCAGAGACGGATGGAGCAGGTGATGGTACCGGAGACGAGGGTGGAGGTGAGAGCGCTGTTTTTGGGTCGGCATGTTCGATCGTGACTGGTTGGAGGTTTCTTGCTAGAGGTAAGTCTTCCATGTGGACATCTACATCTTGCGCGACCTCGATTTGCTTTTGCAGTTCATCGTCGGCAGCAGCATCCTCCCTCACAATCTCTTCGGGTGCACCATGGCTTCCAATATTGTCGTGTGCTTCATCGACCTTCTCCGCCTCTTCTTTCTCCTCTACCAAGTCCTCGATCAACGGCAGCTTGTACGACAACCTCTCTTCTCGATGATCATGCGCAGTCGCGAACTCATTATACACCCTGATTACTTCGCGGTTGTCCAACCTCTGGAGAATATCTTTGATTCTCTGCGTCCACAGTGCCAGCAAGTGCTTCTTCTGGCCGCCTCTGGTGAGAATCAAGCGCATAGTGTTGATGAGCTCGCTGGCTGCGGTTTCGGGCATGACAGCGAAGAGCCGAGGTTCAAAGACGGTAAGACTGCTCGACGTCGTGGGTGGCCGTTTCCGTCTGTATGTCGTGGGAGTCTGCATCGCATTTGTCTCAGGCGCGGTGGTGTTGAGCGGTGGGGTAGGCGCGGGTGTGAAGAATTGCTGGGGGTCTGGCGTGTCGCTTTGCATTTTGGTGCCTTCTTTGCGCATAATGGTTTTGGTATATTGATGTTCGGGGGTTTACTAGAAATTTCGTTGAGATGTGATGTTATTGATGGTCGCCTGGTGGGCGTTTGCGCGCAGAGTCGTTTTGTTTTGTCTCACTTTCGCTTGCGCTCTCACTCGCGACCTCCAAAATGAGAGAAAACATTGGAAGGACTATACACTGTACCAATCATTAATCCAAATCCTGCAAGGGTTAGAATCAATAAGTGATTGACCCACACACATTCAGGAAGCACTATAGAAGTCAAACTAGGGATGTCATTATCGCGCGAGCACTTTGATGAAAAATATAGGAAGCACCTTTGCATTAGTCAAGCTGTATCATGATTTCTCGTCTCTTCCCAGATACCATGCATCACACATCTCCGCCATATGCCTCCACTACACATTACCACACACGCCCTGTCATCCAACTCCTTTTGCCAAACACCTTACCCAAAGTGCGCCTCAACTAATACCGTGCTGCGCTTTCACATGCGCTTCATACTCTGCGATAGCCCCATTGATCTCATTAACCATCTTCTCCCTTCTCAAAGCATCCGCTTCCGTCTCTGGGTCCTGAAGATCTGCCACGGGCTTACCTGTGACATTCTTGAGGGCTTGCTTAGCGACGGCAACATTCCGAAAGTCCTCATCAAACGCATCCTGAGCAGCAAGAAGCTCCTTCCGTGCCTCCTCGGTGATAACCTCAAGCTGTGCAACAAGACTGCGCGGTTGTTGCGTCGCGCGAGCGGCGGCCATGCGCATCGTAGCCATGCGCTCCCTCAATCGAACGCCATACAACGCATTGCGACATGATTGGAGCTTGACTCTGGCATCGGCGAGGGTGTATTCTTCGGGGCTGGATTCGCTACTGGTAGTCGCGGAGACCAGCAAAGCACGAAGTTCTTCGGATGACTGCGGACGCGCTCGCTCGAGAGCCTGAAGTCGCGTCATCTCACGCAAGTCCTCGAAAGGCATGTTGAAGAAGTGGACACCAGTTTCCGTTCGTTTGTCGGCTGCACGCCAATACAGGGGGCCGGGTGTCGTCCTTCCGACACCGAGGTTATTTGCCAGTGGGTTATCGATCTCAGCAGCGGCAACGTCCTCCTCTGGTAACAAGTCTGGCGAAGCATGATGGTTGACTTGGAGATTTGTATCGCCACGAGCAAAGCCAGAAGCGGTGACACTAGCTTGAGCGTCATCAACATCCATCATCTGAACGTCTTGATCTGGTACTGTGTGATTGTTCCGGTCACTAGCATCTTGCGCAGCTGGATCCCGGTCGGTGGAACTTTTCCTATTGTACGTCTTCAGGCGTTCAAGGATGAAGTTGGTGTCGACAACGTCCTCCACTGCCACCATATTTTCTTTCACTGCATTCCTAGTGACATCATTAACTTTATCACGCCTCCTATCGCCATCGGTGTGCTCTTGAGATATTGCGTCTCCGGTAATCTCTTTGTCCGGATCAGCTACCGCGGTATCGGGGGTGTGTCCGACCGAAACATCATCGGAGATGTCGTCTTCTTGAAGAGAGAGGGATTTTGCGCCCTCTTCTTTCGCACTGTGACTCGCCGTAAGGCTGTTCGATCCGGTAGCCGGAACCCATACCTCAAAGCCGTATTTGTTTACACTCTTTACCAGAGGAGTAGTGGGTCCAGCTTCCGGTCGACCAGCCTTCTTCCGATGCGAACGTCTTGTTGGAGTCTCGGATGTACTGTCCTTCTTTCCATTGCGTCCTCCCTTCTCACGCATTTGGGGCTGGAAGTGTTTATCCCGGAGGTGATCGACAGTTTGTTGAGTGCCTTGACCTTGTGGCGCACGACTGTTCACGGAATTTGGTACGCGCTCAGTGGGAGATTCTATGACTTTTTTGGCCTTGATAGTCTTGTGTCGCTTCGGTTTGGGTTCGCTGAAGTTTGTACCAGGCGCATTTGGTCACTGTTGCCGGGCTCATGCTTCTTAGTTGCTTGCTTCGGTTCTTTGTCACAAGACCTAGCTGTCGGGACGCTGCTCTCACTTCCCATATCATTGACTTTCCTATCGGTAATAGCAAATTCTGATGCAGGAGTGCGAAGCTTCCTAGTCGAAGAGATAGGATTGGTGGCGGCCGGTGGAGAAAGTGATCGGCGGGGTGCTCTACCGTTGGTTTCCTTTGCGACGAGTTTTCACGCACCGACTTCCAACCTGAGAGTCTAGACTTCGGAGTTTGTTGAGTTGACGAGAGGCAGAAAGGTCATGATCAGTACACAAGTGCGTACTGGAAGACTGGGGGCACGTAAGAGGACGAGCAATGTCGATGAGTTCCAAGAACCTTTGGTCATAGCGGCTTGACATCCAAAGAGTGAATTTGCGTGCGGAGAAATTTCTGCACAGCCGATGCGGGCCGTAACAGTATTGGATTCATCTCATGTATCGCAAGATGTCGTGAGCATTGTAAGCGGTCTTCGTCGCTGTCAGACGTCTTCGAAGTCCACGCCTCGCTGGGAAGGAGGCAACGACACCCGCTTATGACGAGCATCCTGAGGCCTCAATGTAGTTGTCAGATGCGCGGTCTTGGAAGTATATCCCCGAAGGTAACTTGAGATGCGCGGTTGTGGTTGCAGTGGTGTTGTGAAGAATGATGACGTCATCATCACCGAAATTAGCGCCGATGTCGCGTGCGCGACACGCGTGCTTGGACCCTGAACCACCAAACTTCACGATATCCGAAGAAGGCTACCTAGGTATGGTTGCCATCTCCAGAATCTGTCCAACATTTACCTCACTTTCGTCAATATTCTTTGTCGCACGTGGTTACCTGTGAAGCATAGTTGCACGCCCAAGGTCTACACAAGCGATCACACACGACGTCATATCGGCCCGCAGTGCTTAGTATATCGCGGATTCATCACATTTTAATCTGTCCTCTTCAATGATGACGTTCTACCCTCCAGCTAACAGCCAGTGTCATACGCAAAGCTTTCTTGACTCCCTATCAAGTCTCAACACCATGGACCCGCGCCGAACCGTCTCATTCCGTCTCGAACCCACCAAGCCTTCCTAGCCCCGACGCACCCTTTTCTTCCTCTCGAACATCGTCTTCCGCTCCTCCGCATCCATCACACCAGTTCCTGCCGGTTTATACATGGGCATGGCAGTCTTGACGCCAGACTCCATCCATCGTGCCCACCGGTTGTGCAAGTCCACGATGCCGTGATTACGCACAAAGGTCTCTAGGTCATGAAGCACTGCTTGTTCGGCGGTAGCATCCTTGTCTTCCTCGGCGGCTCGACGACGCGTCCACACGAGATGCATATACTCTTGACGCTCAGCGTCTGTCGTCAGGATCTGGCCCATCTCTTCCATAACCTGTCGTAGACTCGGTCCGGCGGTACCAGTGGTGATGATAGTCGTCGGCCAGATCGGAACCCCAGTCTTTCGAAGCTTTGACTTGGGGGGCTGGGTATTGGCTTCAACTGGAGTGGGCTTGGCAGGTCGCTTTCCAAGCTGCTTCTGAGACGGTCGTGAGGCCTTCTTCAGGGTACCTTGCGAGCGCTTGCCTTTCACAGGGAGAGACTCCCCGAAGTCTCCGTCTTCTTTGTCGTCGTCGGGTTCTTTGCTGCTGTCTTCAAAGTCTTCGCTGTCCTCTCCAGGCTCTTCTTTCGACCGGTTCCCGACTTGTCCCTCAATATCACCGTCGTCATTCACATCCGAGAAACCAACGAGCTCAGCATCTCCGGCTTCTTCACCCTCTAAACGAGATGTGTCCAAGGAATCCGATGGGCCCGCCTCCGTGGCCTGAGCAGCCTCGATCTCGGCCTGGCGACGCCGGACCAAGGCTGCAAGGTCTTCAGACCCGGGCTTGTGCGCTCCGGTTGATGCAGAGTCGCCAGTAGTCTGGCCCCCAACCTCTTCCTCTGCGTCACTCCAATGCCCTTCGACGTCTTCTGGCTGTAGTAGTGTATGACCACCGATACGCATAGGGCGTGTCATCGTTGTCGGGGCCGACGGGATTGCCTGGCTTGGAACGCGGAGAGAATTCTTGGAAGCTGGTACGCCAGGGAAGACGAACGGATGCCTCGGTGGGTTATCTTGTGGAGTCGTCGATAGCGATGGTGCAAATACAGCTCGTGGACCGAGCGGCTCAGCTTATGAAAGGTCAGCGATCGCAATTGCGGGGAGACCGACTTCGAAAGCACAAACAACCAACTTGAAGAGAACGCAATTGTTTACCATTACCAGCTTGAGCAGCAAGCTCGTCCTGCTTCTGCTTTGCACGCATAGTCGCAGCCGCTCGCCTGTTCAGCTCTTCAAGTCCCGCATGGCGCCCCCATACAAGTCGACAGGTCTTCCAAGCATGTCTTATCATCTCGAAGTCTCCATCGGTGTCCTCTTGACCCTGGTTGTCAGGTATTGGGCCAGCAGGTTCCAACTTCCAGATCGGTATCATCATGGGAAGCTGCGTGAAATTGATGACTATTTTTCCCTCCTTCTCAACAAACATGCGAAGGATATCGGGGTTCTCGATGAGGATGGTGTCGGTGTCAAGGTTGCCGGTGCATGTCATCACGACCCTGATGACTTTCGTGGTGAAACCCTCGGACGGTGGGGTTTTAGCGATCCTGGTGATTGTAGCGGTCGCACTGTGTATGTGCACGGGGCCATGCTGCTTGTCGATGTTCATGTCGGGGAAAGGGGTCTCTACCGGAACCTCCTGCGTGGACATGGTCACTGTTGTATGGGCAGTGTAGAGCAAAGATGGCTGCAGGAACAAGTGGTAAGAGTTGATGTTGGTGTTTGGACTACGTGTGGGCCACAGTGCTCCAATGTACGGTGGGGTGGTGGAGAGATTGCTCTCGCACTGGCACCTGCAGGGTGGTTTGCGTCTTTCATTGAGTGCCCTGCACACCTTTTTGGATCGAAAAACACAAGATGATCTGTTCTGGAACTATCAGAATCGGTACCTGGAGTTGCAAGGATCATGGCGGCCTCGCGCTCCATACTCACATCACCTCCGGATGCAATCTCGTCCAGTGATGGTTCTACTCACTCATCGCTTGCGTAGCAAACAGACACTGTTTCTCGACATCGCCTTTCACAACACCCTCAATCGAGGTCATTCCATGAGTATGCGCGATTCCACGAGCTTCTCTTTGCTACTGCAACCCAATGAAGACTAAGCAAAGCGTGTCCAAATGATCAGCTCGACGTTGCGCGACTTCATTGAGATGGAATACACTCAGCAGCCGAAAGTCTATCGCCCCAGCTGGTATACCATCCCAGCAATCTTTTCCACGATCCAATCGTACACTTCGGCAGTGGAGTGGTTCTACTATCTGACTTTTATCTCGCACATACTATGCAAGTCTGATTCCGCGCACATAGCCAAAGCCCACCTTATCTCCTTCTTACGCGCCCGGCCGCGCATCCAGATGTGGCACGAAGCTTTGCTCTCAGAGATGTACGACGAAGACGAACCCAACCTGCCGTCGGTACTGGAAAGTACAAATCTCTTGCATCCCTTGATACAGAGATTTCACGAGTATTGCACGCAGAGATTCTCGTTGATGACGAGAGAGGATGTCTTCGTCGCGCGATGCGTGGTAGTTGACTTCATCTACAGGCGTTTGGACGAGGCGCAGAAGGCAGCTGAGCTGGCGAAGGATGCGCAGACCAGGAAAGTGCTGGAAGAGCAGGCTGTGGTCGTGCAGCAGCGCGAGCAGGCTCGCAGAGATTTTGAGGCTTCTTGTCTTCGCTTTGGCAGTACCGTGCTGGACATGCCTGCTGTCGGTCAAATTGGTGTCCTCGATCTTGCTGCTCTCTTAGCTGTGTTGTCGTTGCAATCGCCCTTTGACCTACCCGCCACGCCGGAACCTGTGTTTGTGACAACTGTAGCGCCTGTTCAGCAGGTATCATGGCTGAAGAGTCTTGCGCGCAGTTTGGCTCAGCTTGCAGTAGAGGTCACTCCATCCTACACTCACTTGGCAGCGTAGTCCTGTTGTACGACAAACTTTGGCACAACTGCGTGCGCAATCATTAACTACCTTTGATGTTTTGCTCGTATAGAACAATAGAATGAGGTTAGACAATGATGCCGAACAAGCAATAGTCAACTCATCACAAGGTAAGTGCAAGTATTTAACGGACTGGCGAATTACCTTCTGTTTTGCTTCGCAAATTCCTTCTATACTTATATATATATTGCATTTAAATCTCTTGCTACTTGGCTAATCAGTCAGGTGCTGCTTTTGTTCGTCACTACCGACCCGTCACACTCCTTGCCTTACAAGAAGATGAAGTTTGCGACATCTTGCTTTGAGACCTCCGCAGTCGCTCCGCGGGAGTCACGACCCTTGAGAAGCTCACTCAATTCACCGATTCGATCATTGTGGCCCTACCTTGGCGATGTGAATGAGAGCCTTCTTCGCCGCTTATATCGACCGAGAACGGTTCACGATCTGATTCTTGTTCTACTCAACCAATTTCACTCTTGAGTTCAGAGCCTACAGACCCCTTATAAACGGCCCTTTACCTTCTACCACTTTAACCACTATCAGAAGCGTTCAACAGAACATCACATTCAACAGCCAACCGCACCGAACCCACACAACGATTGTAACGGTAACAATGGTCGACAAGATGGTCACACACACGTCCTATTACACCAACAGCATTCTCCAAAGACTCAAAGATATCATTGGCCTTGATGACTTCCTGCTCTACGGGACCATCATCACACGCGTCTTTCGATGCAACATCAGCGGGTCCGGCTC